CACGAGACCATGCCGGCAGGGGACCAGCAGGTTGTACGACTGCTGTTCGACAGCGGAGCCATCCAGGTGTGCGTGTGTGCATGTATGTATGTATGTTTGTATGTATGTTTGGGTTGAGGCCGGGCGGGGTGAGTGTGGAGGGGAGGGGAGGATGCGGGTGGATGATGCAAGGGAGGCTTCACGGGTTTGGCACATTACGTGTTGGGGTTAGATTTTTTCTCACAGCTAAAATTCCGCTAACGAGTGATTTATTTTAATGTATTTGAATCTTTATTCGAAGTGGTTTCTCTTCTCACATCTTACCTTGTCACAAAAAGGTGTGTGTATTGATGTGTATTGATATTAGATTGTTATGTATGTATGTCCGCAGGTTCTTGTGGTCACGGCGGCCATGTGTTGGGGTCTGGGCGACACAGCGGCGCACTTGGTGGTGGTGGCGGGCACCCAGTACTACGACGGCAGCGGCCTCGGCGCATCCGACTACCCGATCACAGACCTGTTGCAGATGATTGGACGAGCCAGCAGACCGCAGGTAGCTGCGCGGTGTGTGGAGCTGCGCGCGGTGCTGGTGTTGGAAGTATTTGCTTGGCCAGGGGGTTGTCTGTGTGTCTGTCTGTCTGTCTGTCTGTCTGTCTGTCTGTCTGTCTGTCTGTCTGTCTGTGTGTGTGTATCACATTCATCGGTTCACATCGCCAGCGGGTCCGGCCGCCTTCCCTCGCAACCCCCCTCCCCACCCACTTCGTCATCACTTCCCTTTCCTCCTCCTCCTCCTCCTCCTCCTCCTCCTCCACCGCCCTGATTTACACCCCGCGCCGCAGCCCTCCCCCGTCCGCGAGCCCGCTCTAGCTTTTTTCACCTCCAACATCGTGCTTCGTCCTACCTCCCTTTCACTCGTTCGTGGTTCGTCTTTCCAACCCCTCCAACCCCTCCAACCCCTCCAACCCCTCCAACCCCTCCAACCCCTCCAACCCCTCCAACCCCTCCACCCCCTCCACCCCCTCCAGGTTGACGACTGCGGCAAGGTAGTGCTCATGTGCGCCTCCCACCGCAAGGAGTACTACAAGCGCTTCCTGCTGGAGCCCCTGCCCGTGGAGAGCCACCTAGACCACTACCTGCACGACCACTTCGTTGCGGAGATTGTGACTAAGACCATTGAAAACAAACAGGTGTGAAGTGCGGGGGTGAGGTGTGGGGTGAGGTGTGAGGCGAGGTGTGTGTGTGTGTATAGGGGGGGAGAGGTGAGAGATTGCGGATTGGACCCCTATCCCTGTAGGAGTCTAGGCTCTTCCAGTCCCAGCTCTGCCCCTGTACATTTACCTGGTTCATTTGCAACCCTGCTCTCCCCCATCCCCATCCGCTTTTCCTGGCCCCCCTTTCCCAGCTCGTCCCCAGTCGCCAAGGATCCCAACTTCACCGCAACTGCTCCATTCGCCCCCTATTCGTTGAAAAATGAATGACCTTTTTCGCTTTATTATTATTATTATTATTATTATTATTACTATTATTATAATAATAATAATAATAATAATAGTAATTATTATTATTTAAATATGATATTAATTATTTCCTTTCTCTCCTTGTCTCTCTCTCTCACTCTGTACCAGGACGCGGTGGACTACCTGACCTGGACGTTCTACTACCGCCGCCTCGCCCACAACCCGAACTACTACAACATGGCGGGGGTCAGCCACCGGCATCTGTCCGACCACTTGTCGGAGCTGGTGGAGAGTACCCTAGGTGACCTGGAGACCAGCAAGGTGCGTGTGTGGGAGTGGGGCATTGGGGGGGAAGAGAAAGGGGTTGAGGGTTGAGAACCTTTTTTGGATTGATGCGGGCAGTCCAAGAGGTGTGCTGTCCACTTCTTGTGCAGTAGCAGCAGTAGCAGCAGCAACAGCAGTAGCAGCAGCAACAGCAGTAGCAGCAGCAACAGCAGTAGCAGCAGCAACAGCAGTAGCAGCAGCAACAGCAGTAGCAGCAGCAACAGCAGTAGCAGCAGCAACAGCAGTAGCAGCAGCAACAGCAGTAGCAGCAGCAACAGCAGTAGCAGCAGCAACAGCAAGATTTGGACGTGTCAGCACTTTTGTTTTCCTTTTTGAAAAACGCATCACACAAATCTTTTTTTCTCGTTCTCGGTTCGCTGCGCACTCTGTTCTGTAGGTGATTGCCATAGAGGACGACATGGACTTGTCCGCTCTCAACCTCGGTATGATTGCCGCCTACTACCACATCGCCTACACCACCATTGAGCTGTTCGCCGCCTCGCTGGCCGCCAAGACTAAGATCAAGGGCTTGCTGGAGATCTTGGCGAATGCGAGCGGTAAGTTACGTGTGCGGGTGGGTGTATGTATGTAGGTGTGCGTGTGTGTGTATGTGTGTATGTGTGTGCGTGTGCGTGTGTATGTGTGTGAGAGAAAGAGATGGGGGGTGGGCCTCCGCCTCTTGAGGTATCTCTGTAGGCACTCCACTACGTCGTTCATTATTGAATAGCGTCAGTGAGTGCATCGCGAAAGTTTAACACACCCACGTACGACCCGCGCATCCCTGGCTTCATTTCTTCGGCCCTCCCTTTTTCCTCCTCTTCGTCCTCCTCTCCCTCCGCATCCTTGCCCTGCTGCACACCCGCCCACAGAGTTCGACGGCATGGAGGTTCGGCCCGGGGAGGATGTGGCCATCCAGAAGCTTCTCGCGCACTCGCACGTGGCCGTGAGTCAGCCGCGGCCCAGCGACCCGCACTGCAAGGCCAATGTACTGCTGCAGTCGTACCTCAGTCGTACACCGCTGGGAGGGGATCTGGCACTAGACCAGAAGGAGGTTGTGCGCGAGAGCGTGCGGCTGCTCCAGGTTGGTAGCGGGTGCGGGTGAGGTGGGGCTGGTGGATACTTGGGTGTGGGCGGGGAGCGAGGGGGTGGGGTGGGAAAAGAGAGATTTGCACCACCGGCGTATGGTTTAGGGTTTTAGGGTTTTAGTACGATGTTGTGTTGGTGGCAGTTTTGCCCCGAGGGGATGTATCCCCTTGGCAGGCTTGGGATATATTTGGCTGTTTGGGCCTTTGGGGTTTTAGGGTGGTGTTGGCAAATGTAGGCGGGCGACATATATTCTCTATATCTCGTGCTTTTAGCGGCGGCGGAGGAGGTTCACCTGACCTGTTGGGCTGCTTCTTGCACTACGTGATTTCATCTCCCTCCCCCTCCCCCTCCCCCTCGTGTTTTCACACCCCCTCACACACACAACCCTCACACAGGCCATTGTGGACGTGATTGCCAGCAACGGCTGGCTCTCCCCGGCCCTGGCTGCCATGGAGATGAGCCAGATGGTGACTCAGGCGCTGTGGGACAAGGACAGCCCGCTGCTGCAGCTGCCGTACGTTACCCCAGATGTGGCCGCACGTCTTGAGGCCGCGGGCTGCTCCTCCGTGTTTGAGTTGTTGGAGATGGGGGATGCTCCGCGGAGGGAGGCGCTGGGGGCGGCGGTCAGTGAGGCGCAGCTGGCGGAGATCGCGGCGGTGGCGAACCGCTACCCGGACATCAACGTGAGGATCGTGTGTTTGTGTGTGTGTGTTTATGTGTGTGTGTGTGTGTGTTTGTGTGTGTGTGTGTGTTCCGGGGGGTTTGGGGGGATTGGGAGGAATCGGAAGGGAAATAGTGGCGATGCGGATACCGATTCTGCGACCTTTGTAAATTGTTGTTGTTGATGATGATGTTGATGTTGTCAATGCTGTTACAGAGTGGGAGGCTTCCGGGCCAATTGAGCGCCATATTTAGATTGTGTCATATCTACGATTTATCACACTATACAGCGCCATCCACCACTACCACACTGTACTACGCCATACGAACTGGAAGTCCAAGGCGGTTGATCCTGCCTTATTAGGATCCCTCCTCATCCATTCATTCGAACATTCGCAGAGACAGAGGGTCCAGCAATCGCCACCAGTCCATCGTGCGATTCTCGGTGCATTGACTGTGACCTCAATAATAATGTCTCCGGACCAAAATGTTTTATGTCGACACTGCCCTTTGCGGGACTTTTAAAGTGACTTTTTAAGTGGCTCCGTAATGTTGTCTCTGTTGTACTTACGGGTACTGGTACGATGTACAGGTAACGTACGACGTCGTTGGCGGCGACGAGGAGGTCCTGCCGGGCGAGGCGGTTACAGTGGTTGTGTCGCTGGAGCGGGAGATGGACGAGGAGCAGCCAGGCGACGTGGGGCCGGTGCCGGCGCCGCACTTTCCCGGCCGCCGGGACGAGGGCTGGTGGTTGGTGGTTGGAGATCCCAAGGCCAACAGCTTGCTAGCCATCAAGAGAGTCAATCTCGGGAAGCAGGTCAGGGTGGTTAGCGGGCTGGGCGGTGTGGGAGAGGAGGGGAGCCGCGGGCCCCGCCCGGGCGAGAGGGGAGGATGGAGGTATGGAGAGGAAAAACACCGTGGGGCAGTCACACGACCCACGCACGCGGTCAGCCCCACCCCATCCTGCACAGTCCAACCCGATCGAATTCCCAGGCCCGCCGTGCTCGTGTGCGCGTGTGCTCGTGTGCATGTTTTAACCCCCCACCCCTTCTCCCCTCGCCTTTGAACGCACAGGCCCGGACCAAGTTGGAGTTCTCCGCCCCGCCGCCCGGCTCCGATGGCTTCGCGCACCTGACCTTGTACTTCATGTGTGACAGCTGGATGGGCTGCGACCAGGAGTACGAGGTCAACCTCAAGGTAAAAAGGGGCTGGGGAGGGAGGTGTATTGGGGGCAGAGGGCGATGAGCGGGTGGGGGGTTTGGATGACAAGGATGACAAGGAGGGGGAGGGAGGGAAGGGGGGCCATGCCTTGTGCACAACGCGGCTTATTAAAGACGGCGGCGAGGAGGAGGGCGGGCGGGCGGCGGGTTGTGAGGTGTGACGTGTTCGAACTACTTGGTGGTGTGTGGTCCTTGAATGTGAAGTTTCCCCTTCCCCCCTTTCATGGCCTATAGCCCCTTGTGTTCCCATTCCGTAGGCCATATGCGGCCAAAGTTTTGGGGCTAAAGGTTGCGGAGGACTGTCGACTTGTTATTCCTCCGCCGCCGCCCCCACGTAGCCCCCACCTGCACCTGCACTTGCACCTGCACCTCATCTCTGCTTTGCGGCTCCTCTCGCCTCGACATAGGTGTCGCCCAACGAGGATGCCATGGAGCAGTAATTAGTACTGAGGAGGAGGAGGAGGAGGAGGAGGAGGACGAGTGGCTGTGCCCGGTAACTTCTAGGTTTATTTCAGGCGACCCGGACGCGAAGGGCGATGAACCCCGCACACACACACATCACAACATACACATACACAATGGCAGGGGGGTAAGGTCAGAAGGGCGACGGTACGGATGATGGACAGGTGTGGATGGCGGCATGGATGGCTGATGGTGTTGCCGTACAAGGTCCGTGGGGTGAAACTGTACGAGGGGCCTAGAGGTCCGTTCAGTGCCATGTAGTTGAGCCTGGGTAGATTGCAGTCGTGGTGGTTGTGGTGGTTGTGGTGGTTGTGGTGGTTGTGATGGTTGTGATGGGGAGTGAATAAGAAAGGTGACTGCTGCGGGGTTACGGAGGGTCGCGGCACCTAGCGCAGCTTTTGCTGGGGGCGTACATAATGTTAGGGAGCCGTGCTACTCTTCTTGCCGCCTGCGACAATAGTCGTGAGGACCTTTTGGCCTGATGCTGCTGTGTTCAGCTGATTGAGCTCCTCACTTCGCACAGACGACTTTTGTCCTTCCCTCTTTGGGTATTCTTTTTCTTCTGAATGGTTAAAAGACAGTAATGACGTGACGCAGCAGACTCCTCAAGATGTGGCGGTAGCGCGGCTTTTGGTTGGCTGGGAGGATTTGGGGAGGGTTAGGAAGCTGCGGCGAAATGGTGCGAGGGTGTTGGGCGAAACGGCGGAGAGGGTCGATTGGATATGGGTTTCGGAACGGAGCTGGTTGAAGGCTTGTTCCTTGTTAAAGTGGCACGTGTGTAAGGAGTACACATTCAGTGTGCAGTGACGCGACATGCACTTGTCTAGACAACCAGGCCATCTTTTCATAGTTCGCAAAGATCATAACATCTATGCAGAAAACCGCCGCGCATTCGTCTACAAGCGACTTCCAAGCAACGCAACAGCCTGCAGCCGACCAAGAACATCCTTCAGTAGAGTAGGGTCTTCACCCCACAACTCACAGCCAGCGCGCCAGCCCTCTACCACCACCTTTACCACCACCACCTCCACAACACCTCTGCCCAATAATACCGCAACGGTATGCAACACCCTGCGCCACCTTCCTCAGCGAACCTCCCCCAGGCCTGCTACCGATCAGTTGTTCTTATTCACCATCAATGCCGCGTGGAACCCCCTGCAATAGTAAAGAGGCCCACTGAGTGATGAGTTAATTGAACGCGTCCTGATCCTCCGCCTTATGCTCATCACCCCGACGGCGAAAGCCCACACGCATTATAATAGGTGCGAAAAGGTGTATATTATCACTGACGGCAGACACCTATAGGTGGAAAAGCACATCCGCTCATTAAAAACAAATAAACCACAGCAGCCCAGTGCAGCGCGTCAGACAGCATCAGATCATATGAACACAGCTCCTCGTCTCCAATAATATAAAATATATAATAATATGACCGAACTAATCGCAACGCCGTACCCAAGTAATACTTGCGTAACATTATTTGCAATATATAGCTATAAAATCCGTAGGCTCGTATAAATGTACTAAACTACTAATCGCCTCCGGGTAAAAGCCCCAGCAGTCCCCACCAGCAGTCCCAGCAACAGCAGAGCATATCGGTCGAAATCTCATCACTGGCCAACCTCCCCGACAACAAACCCCCACGAGATGCAGGTATATCCCAAAGCTAGTCATGTTGTTGACTATCTCACAAAAGATGGGTTCGAAACCCGGTTACAGCGTCTTAGAACTCGCCGTCCTGGCCTTGTTCCCAATGACCGTTGCCACCACCGTCATCGCCACAGCTGCCCTCGCTGCTGCCCCCCGCCGCCGCCGCCGTCGCCGCAGCTTCCGCTGCCCGCCGTGCGTCTCCGTACACCCAGGCCGCCACAGCGGCCGTCGCTTCGTCGTCATCATCATCACTGGCGGCCGCAATGCCCTCCTCCTCCTCCACTTCCTGCGCTTCCTCCTCCTGCCCCCCCCGGAGCCCGTCCTCATCGTTCCCCTCGCCATCCCCCAACCCCCCACCACGGGTCACTAAACGGGAAGTCACCTCCGTCCCCTCCTCCACCACGTCGCTGTCCTCCCCTTCCGCCGCAAGTTTTCTGCGTAGGAAAGGTGGTGAGGGCTCATAAGACCCGCCCGGCACCAGACAACTGACCAGCCCGTGTCGCACATACTCGTCCCCCTCCCCCACCCCCTCCTCCTCCCCGCCCTCATCTTCGGACGAGGTGTCGGCGAAGAGGCAGCTCGAGACTGTCAGGTCCAGATGCTTCCGCAGGGAAAAGCTAGTGGCGCGGCTGCAACTCGAGAAGCGTTGACAGGGAAGGGTGAAAAGATACAGGGGGCGCAGGCAGCGGGGGAGTTCTGTCAAGGGATAGAATAGCCGAAGAAAACGGGATCGGGATGGGACACGCAAATAACGTCGTGTGTTAGTAAAATTACCGTCCACCAAAAAATCAACCTAATATTAGATGAAAAAGGAGGTTGGGAATGAACATAATATAGAACAGAATGTGCCTCTTTGTCTATGTAAAAGATATTCCCGCAACCAAACTGCAAAAACCCTGGACCATATCCAGAAAAGAATCTCCCTCGGAAGAAAAAGTATCCCCCTCCCCCCCTCCACACACACCGCCCCCAGTCCCTCATTGGTCAAGTATTCCCGGATAGAGAAAAGCCACTCACCCGCCAGAGGACGGCGTCCGCAATCCCGCGACGCCGTGCGTGTACGGCGAAGGCACAGGCGACGGCTGTGACCAGCCGCCGAGGGAGCTCCTAGGCGAGGAGGGAACCAGGAGACGGCTGGGCCGTGATACCCGGTGGGGATGACCTGCGCCGCCGCCAACACCATCGTCGGGGGTCTCCGGTGTGCCGTACCCGCCAGGACTGTGTGTGTTGTTGTTGCTGCTGCCCCCGACACCATCTGCCCAGCCAACGCACCCGCTTGAGCTGCTCCTGCCGCTGCCCGAACCACCGCCACTACCCCCAATGACAGCGGCCTTGAATAAGGCTGCCGTTGAGCGTTGAGTCGCCTCCGGCATTGGAAAGGAAAAGCTCTGGTACAAGTCGGAAGCGGCAGCTCGCGCCGCCGCCGCCGCCACGGACGACGCGCTGGCGAGAGGTACGGATGCCGCCGATTGGATCTTCTCCTCCCGCCGCTGCAATACCCGGTCGTGGTCCTCTTCCTCATCCTCCTCGCTGTAGCCGTCGTACAGACCGCCTCCAGGCGGGAACACGCCGTCGCTGGCGGTCGCGGCGGCGGCATTGTGATAGGGAAACGGCGCCGCACGCCGCGACGAAATCGACCAACGACGGCGGGTCGCTGCTGGGCCAGCGGCGGCGGCGGGGCCTCCACCTCCGCCACCAGCGTCGCTGTCGCCGTCGCTGACGGCGGCATCATCACTGGCGCTGGGGTAGCGGAGCTTCACACGCCCCCAGGAAGTATTATCATGGGTGGGCGTTTTGAGCACCTCGTCATCGTCATCGGCGGGGGCGGGGGCGTTGTTGCCGCCGCCCTGTCGCTCGCTGCGACTCTTTAGAGCTTCAATCAGCGCCTCTGGATGCACCCTGCGATGGCTTGTCGGTTTGTTGCGGGCCCCGTCACCACCATCGCCCTCGTCGCCGTCGTCATCATCATCGCCGGCGTACATGCTGGCACGGCGGAGCCAGTCCTTGCCGTCACCATCGGCGTCGCCGTCGCCGTCGGAGCCGCTCCGCACCGCAAAGCTGACCGAGTGAAACGCAAAGCTCAGGTCCGCGCGCGGCGTGGGCGTCGTCGAGCCGCTGCCACTGCAGCTGCCAGCACCGCCAGCACCATCAGCGTCGTACGGCGTCCGCGGCGCTGGAGACACCGGGCTGACGGCGACGCTGGGCTCCTGCTCCTCTTCCTCCCCCGCCTGCTCCTCTTCCTTCTCCACCCCTTCTTCATCGCCACCATTATGCTGGACAATACCTTGCCTAGGATCTTGAAAACCGCCGTACTTCTTCATTGCGTTTCCGTCGCCATCCCGCTGTTCGCCCTGCTGATCTTTAAAATTCTCCTCCTCCTCCTCCTCCTGCTGCTGCGTGTTCGCTACATCCGTCACATCCTGCTCGTGTTGTCCTGAGACATTCACCGATACACATACTGGCGGCATCCGCCCTTCAGCAACAGCTTTCGCCATCGCCTCCGTCGCCTCTACCTCCTCAACCGCCGTACCCCTGCCGCCGCCAGCCTCCCTCACCACCACCGTCGGGCTCAGCAGCAACCAGCTGCCGTCACCGACGCTACGGCCGCTGATACTCGGCCTCTTCTCCCTGCTGCCGCCGTCACCACCACCGCCGCCGCTGCCGCCGCCGTCGTGGCCCAGCTCCACACCCACGTCGTTGTCGTACACAGTCAGCGGTGAGAACGACGCCGCGGACATGAGCTCCAAGGAGCCGTCGGCGGAGCGAAGGCTGTACGACGGTGGGTCGCCGCCACCGCCCCACGGGTGCACCCTGGCGGCGTCGATCGACGACAAATCCGACCGTCCCCCCAGGGACGAGCGACGGTCGTTGTGGGCTCGTACGGCGTCAGCAGTGCCGACCGAGACAGCGGCGCCGCCATGGCTGCTGGAGCGGTCCAGCGCGTCGCCGCTGGCATGAACGTAGCAAGGCACTCCGCTGCTGCTTACGCTGCCGCCGCCGGCACCGCCGCCGCCACCACTCCAGGGATAGACCCGTTCTGCATCGAGGCTGGACTCAATGGAGGTAGCCCCGGAGGAGAAACGACGGTTGCCGCGCTGGTCGCCGAGACGGGAGGAGGACAAGGTGGCGGTGGCGGCGGTGGCGGCGGTTTCCGCCGCCGCCGGGGCTGAAAGCTGCTCACGATACAGCGGCCGTTGGGCAGGGTGGTCTCTGAAGCTTCTAGCCGTGAGAGGCCGCGGCGACTCCATCAGGAGCTCCTGCAGGACAGGGGAGTCCAGCTGCCTGGTAAAGGCGCTGGTAAGAGTCGTCGTCGTCGTCGGAGATGCCCTAGTGTTAGCGGCACTGGTGGCGGCGGCAGTGGTTGCCGCCGCCGCTGCCGCCGCCGCCGACGGGCGTAGCGTCGTCGCGGGCACGCCAGTGGCTGACCTGTCGTACATCTGTCGGTCACGACGGACTCCGTCGTCGCCGTCATGAGGGTGGCCCTTATTCGCCGTGACGTAATCGTGCCCGTCACCGTCCCGACTGCGGTCGTACAGATGCCGTGTACTGTACGGCGTGGTCGTGACATTGTACGACGGCTCAGCATCGCCAAAGTGCGTCTTGTCCGCCAATCCATAGTACGGCAGCCCACTGTATCCCGGGGCCCCTGCTCTCTCCTGCGCCGGTAGCGCCACGTGCATTGTACGACCCGCTGGACTTCCTAGCTCGAAGGGATGGTACGACAATCCTGGACAACAAAAGCAAAAAAGGCGACCAATGGGGATGGAGAGCTCAACAGGTAGATGCAGATGCACACAGGAACGGTTAACAAACGGTCAGGATAGAACAAGAATTTGAAAGCCCCTCTACATTTCGCGCATTCGAGCATCCTTCACAGCGTACATCGCACAACAACAACTTGAGATGAGAGCAATGCGCGCAGATATATTTGTCAAGGTAATATTAGGCAAAGGTGACTTTTTATTTCTGTTATGGCTTCTGCCCCTTTTAGAGGCACCTCCACTTTCTTTCCCTTCCCGCGCCTTCCAATAACCGCGCTGATATCGCGAAACAGACAACAGATTGAGCAGCAAGGTCACAATATTGGGAGCGTCCCAAGGGACCAAACCAAAGCGGGTACTAAACTTCGGCGTGTGGGAGGGTAGGTAGGTAGGTTATTGGGTCGGTGGGGGGTGCAGGGAGTGAAGAAGGACGGAGCCGAGTTAGATTAGGAGAACAAGTGCCGGTGCGGGTGGTTGGGTGGTTGGGGGGAAAAGACGAACCACGAGCGAGTGAAGCCGCTTGAGTGGGGGGGCCGGGGGGAGCTTGTCAAGGGCTTTACACAAACACAAACCTAAGGCGGGGTCATGGACGTCATCGCTGGACGTTCCCCCTCCTCCTCACAACAAACACCCTCCCCTTCCCCCCCTTCCCCATCCCTCCTCCTCCTCCTCCTCCTCCTCCTCCGTCTTCAAAGCGCAAAACTGCAAAAGATGGCCGGAAGCGTTCGGAGGGGCCCAAACAAATTAAATAAAAAACGAAAAGACAAAGAAACAGGAGACGCCTGCGCCGGCTCTCTTTTCCGCTTTCCGCTTCTCACGCGATTCGTTAATTGATTTATAGACTGGTGGATTGACGATTGGCTAGACACCACCATCATCCCCCCGCCCACGGGAGTGGTCCTCTGTCCCCCGGGCCCTCCTCCGCCTCCAAGTGTCAGAGGAGGTGGCCCCAGAGGGGGGGGGGCAGAGCAAGGGGGAAATCCCAAACGCAGTAATCCAGTACTAGTACATAAACAAGGCCGATTTATACACGGATATACTATATATAGTATATATATCATATGTATGCATATACATATCCGTACAAGCTCACCAGCCAGCAAACTCGTCGAGTCAAATATACGCTAAACGCGGCGGAACGGAACGCTTAAAAAAACCCTTCAACGTACGTTCCGGAAAGTCCAACACCCAACAAACAAGATAACATAACAATGAGGCACAGAAGGAAAAGCGTCAGAGAGAACACAAAAAGAGAGCACAGAGCGAGGAAAAACCCTCCAGCAATATGTCCTCAAACAAACATACATACATGGTAACCTATACGGGCGCTGCCTATTTAAGGCACATAATGCGCTCAGGACGCACTTTAATATAAAATCCAGTCCCCGGCTAATCGCATGACGGATATAGACATCACACAGACACACAGACACACACCAAACATCACACAGACACACAGACACACACCAAACATCACACAGACACACAGACACACACCAAACATCACACAGACAGGGAAATCTAATAAACGCGGACATGCTCTAGGACAACGGGGCGCCTCCTCAAACCGCTTCAAACAGCCTCTCGGGGACTGAGGAGGGAGATGTGGCCCTCCCCCCGGACAGGGTCCACCACCACACACCCGCGGGGAGGAGGGGAGACACCAAACGAAAGTCCCTCTCCAAATGGAAGTATTAATGGAAACATATACATGGACACCTATTACAAAAGGAAATAACCCAAAGGAGATAAAATGGCTGTTTGTTTGCATCTCTTAGGACACGGGTTTATAAAAAACGGCCTAGAGGAAAACGGCCTACATACATATACCCTGCATACATACATACATGCATGTAGCAAAAAAGCCGAAAAAGTGGCTTGAAGGTGGCTTCACAGCAACCTCCAGCAGCAGCAGCAGCATACACCAATACGGCATCGACCATGTCACCAAAAGCCTAAACCAGCAAACCAAAGCCCAACGCAAACAAGCCCAACTGCTCCAATCCCAACGCCAACGCCACAGCCATCGCTGCATCATTCCCCTGTTACCCACCCCGCTGATCACCACCGCCCGGCCCCGCCCCCGCCCACGACGCCCATCGCCTCACCTTCCAGTGCGCCCGAAAGGACGGCGACTGCGGGTGGTGGTGGCGACGGACGTTGTGGGCGGGGCGACGACGACGACGACGACGATGCCGGCACCGCAAAACAACCTCCTCCACCGCCACCCGCATCAGCAACACCACCACCAGCAGCGTACGGGTCCACAGCCGGACGATACGTCGCCACAGCTGCCGCCGCTGCCGCGGCGGCGACCGCCGACACCGGCGCTGGTTCAGAACCACCGAGAGCAGCACGTAGACTGTTCACCGCCGCCGTCGCCGACTCATGCACCGGCGGATAGCGTGGCGACAACGACGGCGATGGTGACAGCGGCGGCGGCGGCGGCAGTGGCAGCGGCTCGCCGGCAGCCGACACAGCGACCATGAACACTCGAGTCCCACCAGGACCGCTGCTGTCTGCCGTACCGTTGCCATAGTACGGCGAGGCGGGGCGGTCCCTGCCCGGAACGTCCGAGTAGCCAATCGGCGGGTAATACCTCTGAGTGGGTAAGTCTGATCCGGGTGCTGGTACTGCTTGGGGGAGAGAGGGCGCCACCGCGGATGCGGCATGTGGGCCAGTTCCTGAAGGACCCGCCGCCGCACCCGTGCGGAAGGATGAAGGGGAATGAGCGACGGCGGCGCCTCCGTCGCTGTACAGCAGCGTGTGGCTGCGGTGGCCCATCGAGGAGGCGAGGTGTGCAGCGCGCTCCTGAACGCCTGAGAGAGTGCTGTGGAGGGGAAGCATGGCGGCACACGAGCGGGACGGAGAGTGAAGAGAGAGAGAGAGAAAAAGGTGGTTAGGGGAAGGAGTTAAGGAGGGTGCGTTGCGGTCCGATACCGGATGGGTGGGAGGGGGAGGGGGAGGGGGAGGGGGAGGGGGAGGGGGAGCGGGAGGGGGAGCGGGAGGGGGATAGAGTCATCCATTTAAACCCAACTTGTCGTTGAATTACCTGCAGTTTTGCATGCAAGCACTGCTCATTGTGTCTACAAAGGTATACATCGGGACAGGAGGCAGGGCTGGGGGAATGGGGACTCAGGTAAGGGTAGTAAGCTGCTCAGCGCGCTCGCGCTCATGTCCGGCGCCAGTGGATAGAGCAACAGCCTTGTATTTTGAAAGGAGGGGGGCTGGCGCCGGACTGACCGCGGTGCGTTACGTTGGGAGCGTACTAAATGTTTGGTCATTTTTAGGAGGAAGGACTGTATTCCTGTCTTCCGTCCTTCCGACTGCCGAAAGTAAAGGCGTCGCCGTAAAGACCGCCCCTTTCACGACAAGAAAACCAAACCTTGGACAGAGCCCTTGCAACAATTAATTATCACATCGAACAAAGCTGGTTTCAACTTGAAAACACTGGGAATCACCTCACCTTGAGACTCTTAGCAACTGCTGCCGCAGCGCCTCCATGCGGGATACAAGCGTTGATGTAAGAGCTGTGGCGGGGCGACCACTAGCAGTTTCCATGTCCCCACGCTGGTTGCTTGGAACGCCATGCCACGTGGAGCTGGAGCTCTGCGGCTCTCCTCGCAACATCGCATATTCTTCGCGAATTATACCACCTTTCATAGTTTCCTCCGCGCTAGCGTCTCGCAAAGCTTTGACCGGTTTTGATCCACTGCCTGTTGGGTGCTCCTGAGGTTCCTCATAAAATAGTCCAGTGGATGCCTCTTGAGTCTGTGTATGAGCTTCACGGAAATCACTGCCGGAATCCCTTGCCGATCCTCTTGCTGTGGCGGGTGTCTCAGGCAGCCCGAAGCCGTACCATTCCTTGTATCCTGACTTGCGCAACAAGGGCTTCTCGGATAACGACAGCTCCATACTGTTTGCCTGCGGGTATCTCCCTGGCCGATAACGAGGCGTATGATCCAGCTGTAACCCTGAAGCGCGAGGCGAATGACGCCCACGGGCGCCGGTCGTTTTTAGGGTCTTCAACCGTGGCAGGGACCAAATATAATACGATGGTGCTTCTCCAGAAAAGTTGGCGCTGCCGCTGCGTAAATGGGGCGGAAGTACTTCCGCAACCGTCAAGGGCCGGACGTAAGTGGCGTAACCTTTCGCCGATGTGTAATATCGCGCCTGCTGCTCTGACCGTTGGTCAGCAATAACAAGGAGGCGCAAGCTCCCAGGATCGCGGTCGCTATCTGATGGGTAAAAGAGCTTCGACATGACCTGTTTTTATAGCAATCTAGCACCTATTGTAATTGTTCTCTCCCATACATATTTGGGATGATATATATGAAATCGAAGACCAGTTGCTGCGTTTTACCAACGCTAGCCGTGCATGAAGGCCCTCGACGCGGCAGCAACTGACGCCCACAACACAGAGGAAAGCACTACAGTGGCATCAGAAACACACAAATCACCTCTAAACTCATAGATGCATTGCCACATCAGGGCAAAATGGGCCACACACCAACTCGCAGTTAGACAGTCGTACATCACCACTCGCAACTGCTGGGCGATTCTCCTAATCCGGTCCAAATGCTCTGGCTAAGATGCAACTATTACCTCCTTGCATTACCGGAAATCCACATGTATGCATATACATAGTTACGCGCTGCGGCGCCATCTGCTCGTTACGCATCTCGAGGAACTGCTTCTTACTAGCCATTACCCAAACGCATATAACAACTAAGCTGGCGACCAATCCCTGTGCTGGACCATCCAGTCCGCTCTCCACACCATTTCAGCCGCTTGCCGCCGTTAATAAGTGACTATCCCGGACAACGTGACTATCCCGTTTGTCGCACAAGCCCAGCAAGCCACGAGCCCTAACTCCGAAACTTAAAACGTAAACATATCCGATGCTTTATATATCCCTTTTTTCAAGTCCAACCTGGTACCCTCTTCTTGCGCCGCACCCGACCCATTACAGCAAAGCTTGACCCATCTTGCACCGTTTTGCCCTCTCTACCAGTTCACCCTGTCCCCTTTCAAGGCCGCCTTTTGGTTCATGTGCAGCCGCAGCCTTGCAAGAGATGGTGATTTTGCAATCGTGCCCTGCTGCGGCGGCGGGTGCGAAACCCTTGGTCCTTTTCCTTACGTGATCAGCCACGGCTGCAGCCACAGCCACCGCCGCCGCTGCCACTGCTGCTGCTGCTGCTTCCACCTCGTCACTATGGTTGATACCTCTTCGCTGCTGCTGATACGACAGCGGCTCAACAAGGGCCTTATTTATAATTCTGGCTTTATGACCACACCCGACACACGTCGCGGAAAAGGTGGACCGCTTACATTCACAATGTCAAACACGTGCCTCCGTGTGCGCGTGGGGAGGAGTGCGAATACACACAAACCGCGATATGGCGGGTGCGCTATTTGTTGTTGTCGACAGCGCTGTCGGCAGTCCTTGCTCTTCTGTCGTGTGTGCAAAGTGCGCTGTATACAATACACGTAGGATTTGCCTTTTGACTTGACTTTTACTGAAGAGCATACAGCATATAGCAAACAAAAAAACAAACAAAAAAACACATAATGAACCGTTCCGCGATAATCTATAAGGAAACCATCACACACGCAAAAGTGCATAAAAGTACTCGCCAGTAACCGCCGATGGGCGCAGATAAATTACCAACATCGACACAATAAGTAGAAACACCTAAGGGGAGAGGGGAACCCAGATGGCTGCCTTCTTTCCCAGCAGCAGCAGCAACAGCAGCAACAGCAGTAGCAGCAGCAACAGCAGCAGCAACAGCAACAGCAGTAGCAGCAGCAACAGCAGCAGCAACAGCAGCAGCAGCAGTAGAACCTGCTAAACACCGTCTCAGTGGAACCTTCCAACCCCGTGTTGCCAGGCTGTTGAAGACACACACATCAGGCAGAATCTTAGTATGTTAAGATATATATATTTATGCTGAGGATACGGCTTGTGTACGGCCCGGATAGGAAACGGCCCACGGGGTGAATGTGCCACGACAACTGAATGAAAACCGCGGAGGAGAGGGCACAGGGCAAAACATACATGCATACATGCATTCATACATACATACACAGACAGACAGACAGACAGACAGACCTGTCCATCCCTCACGCCCTCTCGTCCCCAGACGCCATCGTCCGCCATATACCCCCCTCCCCCCCGGGGTCTTCCCCCTCATCCGCCCTAGTTTTGTTTCAAACCCACAGGTCTCAAAAAAACCAAAAAGTTAAAAGCCAACGGTCAACCACCACAAACTAACTTCCATGTCTCCCGCCCAATAGCAACCTGCTTCACCACTGAATCCGCGTCCGGTCGATTTGGGGATTCAAATGATAACCCAGGGGATGGTTGCACATGTACAGATACCCCCGAGGGCAGCTAGCTAATACACATTACAAATTTTCATACACGTATATATATATATATACATACGTACCACTCAGTGAACATGAAGGAAATTATTTATCTTCGGAATAATCCAACCACCCGCCACGCCACGCCTCATCACAGAAGAGCTCTGTGTATTGAGTGATGATTTTGGAAAGCAAATTTTGGTCGCGAGCGGGTGGCAAAGAAGTCGACAAACGCATCAAGGAGAAAAAATCCGTGTGTATGTGTGTGTGCGTGTGTGTATGTATGTATGTATGTGTATAGAGGCACCGAGGCACGTGTAGACGCGTGTGGTGTACTCAACACACGGACGTGCACACGTTCCCCGCTCGTTCCCCACCCCCCTCCAACAACCCACCCAACCCACCCGTCTCTGCGTCCCCTCATCTCCCCCCCCGGCCTCTTTTCCCCGTCCCTTCCCTCCCCTCTCAATTCGCTCCCCCCCGACTCCAACTTTGCATCCTTAAACCCCTTTCCCTCACCCCCCCAACCCCCCAATCCCCGACACGCCACCCCGTATCCTCCCTCCCTCCCTCCATATTACCGAAACTCTAAAACCGCAAACCGCAAACCGCAAACCGCAAGCTCCCAAAACCCCACGTACTGGACGTACTGCAGGGTGAAACTTCCCGAGTGTGTAAAAAACGCTTTAAACACACACATGCTAGATGCGGAAGGGGGTGGCGGTGGCGGTGGCGGTGGCGGTGGGGGCCAGCCTGGAAAGTAAAAATCCGCCTCCGCCGAACAGTAATATTATCAATACCAACATGGCACCAACCGCGCACGAACCAGCCGACTGTCAAACCGATAAAGCACACGGGGCTCACAAGCGCCGCGCCGAAAAGACTAAACCCAGGTGGGTTTGGGGAGGTATTGGGTTTTGCGGGTTTTGCGGTGTATGTGGGGTCGGGTGGGGTGGGGTGAGGGGTGGGGGGAAAGGGAAGTGGGGGAAAGAAAAAACCCACTGAGACTGCGTTGTTACGGCACCTCACGGCCGCAGTGAGGGTGGCAGTTGTACGGCGGTAGTACAGCAAAAACACGCAGGAAACGACGCCACAGACACAGTCACGAACCACGTACATTGGCGCACGAGAGGGAAAAACGCGGGAATATGTACATGTATGTATATACCTTCCATCGCCACATCAAGCAACGTCAGGAAAACGCCAAAAGCCACGAGATCCTCCCTTCCCGAATCCAACATGCGCGCGCAACAATGCCGTACAGTTCTCGTACATGCGGTTGTATAAAGCTGTACATGATGAGGATCACCTGGAATTCTTCCCGCGACATCGAATATCACCACATCTCCTCTCTCTCTCTCCCTCTCCCTCTCTCTCCCTCTGCCTGTTAGGTTCGTGCTCTCTCTTCCGCCCCCTCCCCTCCCCTCAC